CCATTTCTCTGTATGTGTTTCTCTGTGTGTTTGGGCCACACCAAGTGGTGTTTAGGGAAGCTTCTGACTGTGGGGGTGAGGATGTCAATCCTTCAGCACTAAGGGAAAATGCAGTGTTGGATAGTGACCTTTTACTTTTGCATGCAGACCATGTGCTCAGCTCTTTGTCCTAACAATCTCTCTGACCCAAGATCCTTATGTCCAGGCAATATCTCCAGACAGTTCTCCCAGCCCCATGCTGTGTATGATTTTGTGTCCACACAACTTTCTGAGGGTTTGCTGTAAGACTTCAGTGCATCGAGGTGTGAAAAGATAGTGGATACAATTTCTATCTTCCTGATTCTATTGACGTATGTTTTGTGACCCAGCACCTGGTCTATCTTGGAAAATGTTCCATGTGCACTGGAAAACAATGTGTATTCACATTTTGGGGGATGGAAAGGCCTGTATACATCTATTAGCCCTCTCTCTTCCATTTCTTCCTTCAAAGCCATTCTTCCTTCAAAGCCATTCTTCCATTTCTTCCTTCTGAGTTTTAATCTTGTTGAACAGAGGTGATAAGATGGTGTTGAAGTCTCTAACTACTATTGAGTTGCTACCAATATCCTCCTTGAAGTTTCTTAGAGTTGTCTTAATTTTAAGTGTTTTGGTGGTCCCTCATTAGGTATGTATATGTTTAGGATTGTGATTTCTTCCTGCTGTACATATGCCTAAATTATTTTTTTAAAGGGCCATTGTTGTCCCCCAAAATATTTTTCCGATTGAAATCTATGTTGTCAGATATGAGTATGGCCACCCTGGCTTTTTTGAGGGAGTTATTTGCTTGAAGGATTGTTTTCCATGATTTGACTCTGAGTCTGTGTTTTCTCTGGTTGTTCAGATATGTTTCCTGTAGGCATCAGAAATTTGAGTTCAGTTTTTTATATTCATTTTGCCACTCTGTCTCTTAATTGACATTGAGAGAGATTATTGTATTGGGTTTTGTGCCATCTTTCTGTAGAGGTTTTTTGTGCATGTAGGGATAAGTCTTGTCTTACAGTAGCCACTTTAGTCCTTCTTTTAAGATTGGTTTTTTTTTTTTGAAGTAAATAGATTTTATTTGGAGGATTTTTAGGTATGGAGGGAGGGAGAGAGAGTGAGAGAGTAAAGTTAGACACGAAAGCATGAAAGTACACATCTCAAGAGGGGAGATGCGGGCGACACATGTGCTCGGGAACCATATGTGCTTGGCCACGTGGGCGCAAGCAGCACATGGGCTCAGCAGCATATGCACGCCCTTCCTTTGTTCAAGGTGGCCTTTATAGGGTTTCTCCAACCTGCCCCCAAGTGGGGCTTCTTCCCAGGTAAATGTCCGTTGCTAAGGAGGTTGCCAGGGAGGATGGGTGTGGTGATGGTCTTCTTTGAAATTCCTTTCCTGGCCTTTTGTTCCTGCAGGAGCTTCTTTGGGTCTGTTGCTGGAGCCAGGTGAGGGTCTTATCAAGCCTTAGTTCCTGTTTTCCTATTTTCTGCAGGGCTGGCTTTTGTCGTTGCCTTGGGAGGGGGCCCTCCCTGTCTACCTGCCTACATCATATCCCCCCTAGAGATTTCACCACCTTAAATCTTTAAGCGGAAATTGGTTGGTGGTCTATCTTCTGAAGCTGCTTCATGCTGACAAGGGGCGCAGACACTGCCTGTGAAAGGGGGGAAATCTCAAACTACCTTAGTTTATAATGGGCCCCAGGTAATGAATTGGTTGGGTTCCTAAAGTTATCTGAAAGAAAAGATCAGATGGATTAGACTGAGGGATATCACTTTGAAATGGTTAGACACTGGAGGATTAGAAGTTCCTTTCTGACCCAGTGAGGACAATGTTGTTTGCTGTCTTAAAAAACAAGAGTTAAAGCAACAGAAACCAAAGCAACATAATGCCATACCCATCTCTATCATTAAAACAATGAAAAGGATTAACTCTACAAACAGATTTGGTTGATTGAAAAATGACTTCCTGTGTCCAGATTTTTCTACTGGACACAGAAACACCAAGCCATTCTCTGGCGTTCTCAGTACAGATTGGAAAAACTTCTGCCCATACACTGAAGCTATCAATAAGAACTAACAGATATTTATACCTTGAACATATGAGCATTTGATCATTTGCATGAGGTCAAGCTGCCGATCCACCTATAAGTTCCTTGATGCTGAACAGGTGTTAGGAGGAGGATCAAGATTTCCTCTAGGTTCATTAATGGCACAGAAAGCACAGTTCCGAGTTACTTCTACCTTACTTGCTATTCGGTCCCTTCCCATGGAAGATGGTTTTCACTAGTGTTAAAGCATGACCCTTTAATAATATTCCACTGCATTGGTCCAGGAGTTAGCAATCACCTCTGTAGAATTAGAATCTGATTCTTACAAAAAGCAAGTTACCGAAACAGGGTTTTCTCTCTGTTGGGATCGGGAGTTCCCTAGCCCTGGGAGGCGCGGAGAGACCAGATAGACACAATTCCTGCAGGAGTAAAAACGGGGTTTATTTAGACCAGCATGCTGGGGCTCCGCAGCATACCCCAAAATCGGACAGTGGCTGAGAGCCCCGAGCTTCTTCAAAGGGGGTCTTATATAGGCTCTCATCAACCGTTACAACAAAACCTGCGCATTCCAAGGATCATATATTCAAAAGTCAGTAGTTACATACATCAATTGTCAGTGGTGCAAGCAAGGTTATAGCCGGAATCATTAAGCCTTTAGTGAGACAATACGTTCCAGGAATGGGCAATTTTCCCCAACCACCCGCATCCTGCATCCTGAGCTATCCTTTACCCAAGTCTGCGGGGTGCTTTAGTGAGACAATCCATTCCAGGATCGGGCAATTTCCCCCAACCACCCGCATCCTGAGTTGTCCTTTACCCAAGTCTGCAGGGTGCTTTAGTGAGACAATACATTCCAGGAACAGTAAATACACCTGAATCCTGTCAGAGAGGAGCCAAGCAGTTTTACAGAAAACAATGTTACAAGTTAGCTGAAGCACAAGCAGTTTTACAGAAAGCAATGTTGCAAGTTAGCTGAAGCACAAGCAGTTTTACAGAAAGCAATGTTGCAAGTTAGCTGAGGCACACAAAAATTTGATGCCCTAGCATGGATTCTTTCATTCCCCACTTCTTTCAATGAGCATCTCTAATCCTAGAGATTGAGGGGAGTTTGGGGCCTTATTCAAGGACCTATGGTTGAGAGTGGCTTTCCTCAGTGGGTGACAGAGCTTGATACTGCTGCCTCAGAACCAGGAGGTGAACAGAATTGATGCGTTCTCTAACAAAATTCACCAGCCGATTCAAGATGTAGGGCCCCAGGGTCATCATGATTAAAAGGATCAGGAGGGGGCCAGCCAAGGCCGAGAGGAGAGTGGCTAGCCATGGGGACTGATTGAACCATGACTCAAACCAGCCTTCCCTAGCTTCCCTTTCCCTTCTACGCTGTTCGAGGCCTTCACGAAGTTTTGCCATGGAGTCCCTAACCACCCCCGTGTGGTCTGCGTAAAAACAACATTCTTCCCCCAGGGCCGCACAGAGCCCACCATTCTTGAAGTAACAAATCTAGCCCTCTCAGGTTTTGGAGAACTACCTCTGACAAAGAGGTTAGGGATTTCTCTAGGTGGCTAATAGATTTTTCTATGCGATCTAGGTCCTCATCTATGGCTGCTCTGAGGGAGGAGAGACCCGAGTGCTGGGTGGCCAGGGAGGCAATTCCTGTGCCAGCCCCTGCCAGACCTACCCCGACCAGGGTGGCGATAGTAAAGGTGGAGATAGGCTCCCTTCGAGTCCGGAGTGGTCTTTCAGGTGGGCTGAACCAATAATCAATGGGGGTCTCAGCGGTGTGGTATATGATCCTGGGTACCACAATTACCATGAGGCAGAATTCTAGGGCAGCATTGAAAACTGATCCTGCCAGGTGTGGGGTGAGCCCGGAAAGAGAACACGCCCACCAGGCCCCGGTGACTGGCGATATCCAGACAGAGCTATTCCATCCCGGGCTGGCTATGATCTGAGCACACAGCATCTGTTTTCCTCGTGGGACTGTGCCTACACAAGTCCCTTGACCGCTGATCTGGGTTATAGTTAAACCTTGGCGGGCGCGGGGAACCCAGCCGGAAGGTGCTGTGCAGCTGATGTTGTATGAGGCATTAACACCAATAGCCTCATAAAAGGGTGGGGCAGGGCTGTAACAGAGCCAGCAGGCCTCGGTCAGGTTAGGGGCTGTGGTATTTAAGGCCCGATAAGCGGCTAGTATGAGATCTCTGAGAGGGTTATGGGATGGACTGGGGGTATAGGTAGGCGGAACCTGAGTTTGGGGAGGACTGGGGACAGCTGCATGAGGTGATATAGCAGGGGCTCCGTAGTCTACTGCGGGCTGGCGGGTCTCAAGGGCCCGGTTAGGCCCAATTGTTTCTTGTACAGGCTCTATCCTAAGGAGGATTTGGAGGATGATGCCGTGCCACGGTCTAGTATATAGCATCAAACCCCAATTAAGGCCATTTACCCAGCGCCCCTCTCTTTTCCCTTGGTCGGTAAAAGAAATCTTGACCTGGATCATATTATTATGATATTGGGCACCCTGCGGAGTGTAGCGCACGGGCACCGCAAACTGGACCTTAATGAGGTCAGGAGTCACTGCCCACTTCCAGTAGCCATCATTAGAGTCTACACAATCCCAGATAGCACAGTAATAAGATTCTGGCCCACCACATGTGTTCCTCCATTCCCTGGGTCTGAACCCTGGGCATGTAAAGAACCCGTTGCACCTTATAGAGACTCTAGCCTGTGGTTTGTTTCTCGCACCCTTAAAATACGGCAACGCATCTTCTAATGAGAAATACAGATCAGGAAAACATTGATTAAGGGGCGTAGCATTACAGACCGTGGTGTTCCAAACTTCATAGTTTTCTCCGCTTCGGATGACCCAAGTCTGCTTGAACGGTTGGTGAGGGTTGTCCGCGGGTTGTGCCTGGGGGGTGACGGCGAGCAGGATCATCAGGAACTGGAGGAATGATTGAGTGCGCCGCTCCCGTGTCCAGAAGCACCTCGCGCCAACCAGAGCTTGAGGGGATCCGAAGGGTGACGCCGCACGATCCATTGGTCAGCGGGACTTGGATGGGCTGAAGATCTGGCATCAAGGGCAGGGGCAGGCTTGAGATGGCTGCTGTGGATCCACGTAGAAATCCCGTCAACCTTGACTGCGGTAGGGGTGGTGAGGAGGACAAGATAGGGTCCTTTCCACCTGGGTTCAAGATTCCGGGCTTGATGCCTTCTCACGTACACCCAATCGCCTACAGAATAGGGGTGGGGGGAGACAGAGCCTGGGCGATACTGATCAGAAAGTCCCTTCCATATGTGGCGCTGAATAGCCTCTAGCGCTTTAAGCCTGGGCATTAGCTGAGCCGAGGTTTCAGGTAACACTCCCAGTCCGTGCTCAGTCATGGTTTTAAGAGGTGGGGGCCCCCCGTAGAGTATCTCATAAGGGGTGAGATTGTTACGAGAAAGGGAAGGTGTATTTCGAGCGCGGAAGAGAGCGTAGGGTAAGAGCATCGTCCAATCTTTAACGCCAGTCTCTAATGCTAATTTTGTTAAGGTCTCCTTAATTGTTCTATTCATTCTCTCTACCTGTCCTGAGCTCTGGGGCCTATAGGCACAATGTAACTTCCAATCAAACCCCAAAGTCCTGGCCAGTCCCTGACTTACCTGGGCCACGAAAGCGGGACCGTTGTCGGAACCTATTACCTTAGGAAGTCCGAAGCGGGGAAAGATTTCTTCGAGGAGCTTTTGGGCCACCACCAGGGCGGTTTCCTTCTTCGTGGGGAAGGCTTCAGGCCACCCTGAAAAGGTATCTATGAAAACTAGCAGATACTTATTTCCATACCTGGCAGGAGATACTTCAGTAAAGTCCACTTCCCAGTATGTGCCAGGGCGGTCTCCTCGCAGACTTTCGCCCTGCGTTCCCTCAGTCCTTCGGGCATTCACCAACGCACAGGCTTCACAGGAAGCGACAATGTCTCGAGCTAGTTCTTTTGCCCGCCCTGGGGCAAGGGTGGGTAGCTCTTGATCCTTTAATAGTTCCAGTAGCACTCTGGTTCCTAAGTGGGTCAGGCGATGGGTGAATAGAAGGAACTCAGTTACCTTACTTTCGGCCTCATCATGTTCTCCAGCTTGCGGCAGGGTAGTTGTCAGGATATCTGCTGCTGGGATCTCCTGGAGAGCGGCCGCCCGCGCTTCTTCATCTGCCAGCCGGTTCCCGACCGCTATGGGATCGTCCCCCTTCTGGTGTCCAGGACAGTGTATGATAGCCAGGGCCCGCGGTAAATGGACAGCTTCAAGGAGATTAAGGATCTCGGCTTTGTTCTTGATGTCCTTGCCGGCGGAGGTCAGAAGGCCTCGCTGCCGGCAGATGGCGCCATGCACATGGGCCGTAGCAAAAGCATAGCGACTGTCCGTGTAAATGTTCACCCTTTTACCTTTCGCGAGCTCCAGTGCCTTGGTCAGGGCTATGAGTTCTGCTTTTTGCGCTGATGTTCCTGGTGGCAGAGGTGCTGTCCAGATCTTCCCTGTGGTTCCCACCACGGCTGCCCCGGCTCTCCTCTCCCCTTGCTGGAGAAAACTGCTGCCATCGGTAAAGAAAGTGTAATCTGCCTGCGGCAGGGGCGAGTCTTTTAGGTCAGACCGGACCCCAGTCTCCTCAGCCAAGATTTCTTGGCATGAGTGAAGAACATCTTGCCCATCCTCCACGGGGAGTAGAGTGGCAGGGTTAAGAGTAGCCGGATTGCCGAAGAAGACCCGTTCCTTATCTAGCAGGAGGCTTTGATAGTGAGTGATGCGAGCATTAGAGAGCCATCGGTCAGGGGGCTGCCTAATCACACTCTCGAGGGTGTGTGGAGCAACCAGAGTCACTTTTTGCCCTAGCGTGAGCTTGTCAGCATCTTTGAGCAGGAGAGCCGCCGCGGCAATAACCTTGAGGCATCGTGGCCATCCCGCGGCTACCGCATCTAGTCTCTTAGATAGATAGGCAACAGGGCGTTTCCATGGTCCCAAGGTTTGGGTCAGCACTCCTCTTGCCACTCCGCCTTTCTCTTCTATATACAGAGTAAAGGGCTTGCTAACATCAGGTAAGGCGAGCGCCGGAGCACTGAGAAGGGCCTGCTTGAGTTTATCAAAGGCCTCTTGTTGTTCTCTCCCCCACTCATAAGGAGTGTCTTTTTTAGTCAGGGGATATAGGGGAGCTGCCAAGTTGGCAAAGCCGGGGATCCAGAGACGACAGAACCCGGCCGTTCCCAGGAACTCCCTCAATTCCTTCCGTGTTTGTGGCGGGGGTATCTGGGTCACAGTCCTTTTCCGGGCCTCCGTGAGCCAACGCTTCCCGCCCTTAATCTTGTAGCCCAGGAATATTACCTCATTCCTGCAGAGCTGCGCTTTCTTTGCTGAGGCTCAGTATCCCAGGGAGGCAAGGGTCTTCAGGAGGGCCTTGGTTCCTTTTTCGCACTCGCCTTGGGTTTCAGCTGCTAGTAAAAGATCATCCACATACTGGAGCAATGTTAAAGTCTTATGAGTGGCACGGAAAGACTGTAGGTCCTTGTGCAGGGCCTCATCAAACAGTGTAGGGAAGTTCCGGAAGCCCTGTGGAAGCCTGGTCCAAGTCAGCTGCCCCGAGATTCCCATATCAGGGTCGCTCCATTCAAAGGCAAACAGGGGCTGGCTATCTGGGTGTAGTCGTAGACAAAAGAAGGCATCCTTAAGGTCCAATACAGAATACCAAGTCCTGGTGGGGCTGAGGGTGCTTAGTAAATTATAGGGGTTGGGCACCGTGGGATGAACAATCTCTACTCGGGCATTTACTTCCCGCAGGTCTTGGACTGGGCGATAGTCATTGGTGCCAGGTTTCCGAACAGGAAGCAGTGGCGTGTTCCATGGGGACCTACAAGGCTTCAACACCCCTAGTTGCAGTAATTTGATTATGTGGGGCTTTATGCCTTCCTTGGCTTCTAAGCTCATAGGATACTGTTTAACCTGAACAGGTGTGGCCGAAGTTTTTAATGAGACTACTATGGGTGGTTGGGCTGTGGCCAGCCCTAACCCCGCTGTTTCTGCCCAGGCCTCCGGAAACTCTTGTATCCAGTCCTCGACACCTTGGGTCTTTTCTAAAGGTTCCTCAAAAAGTTTATATTCATCATCTAAGCTTAGAGTCAGGGTCTTTAGTACCGGTGGGGTGGTTCCTTCTGCAGCCCTCACAATTGGATTGAGGAACTCGACCAGAGGGCCTGATTCAGTAAAGGTAATTCTTGCCCGTAATTTAGTTAACAGGTCCCGTCCCAATAGTGGGGCAGGACAGTCGGGTAAGACCAAGAATGAATGGTGGACCCTTCCATTTCCCAAGTCCACTGTTCTCTGAGTAGTCCATGGTCGGAATCGGCTCCCGTTTGCTCCCCTCACTAGGGCGCGCTTGTGTGAAAGAGGTCCCAGTGGTTGTTGGAGAACAGAATGGACCGCGCCAGTGTCTATCTCAAAGTTTATAGGAGTCCCCTCCACCTTAAAGTTTACCCTGAGCTCGGGGAGAGGGTCCGAGCCCCGTCCCCCCTAGTCCTCATCCAGTGCCAGCACCTCAGTGGGAAGAGGGCCCAGGCGCGTACCTCTGTTCTTCTTCTTCTTGGGGCAATCCTTGGCCCAGTGACCTCTCTCTCTACAAAAGGCGCATTGGTCTGAGGCCAGTTTAGGCTTATTTCCCGTGCGCGGGCCCAGGTTTCCTCTACTATCTCCCTGAAATGCCCTATCCTGTACTACCACAGCGGCCAGGACCTTAGTCATTTCCCTGCTCCTTCTTCTGTCTCGTTCTTTCTCCTCTTCCTCTCTCTCTCTCTCTCTCTCTCTCTCTCTCTCTCTCTCTCTTCTTTCCTCCTTCTCCTCTTGCGTTTCCCTTTTATTAAAGACCTTGTTAGCCTCTGTCACTAAGTCCCGAAGAGACATATCCTGTAATCCCTCCATTCTTTGCAACTTTCTTCTGATATCAGTAGCAGACTGACCTATAAAGGCCATGGCTACTGAGGCCTGATGCTCCTCTGACGTAGGGTCAAAGGGATTATACTGTCGGTAAGCTTCAAACAGCCTTTCTAGAAATAAGGAGGGGCTCTCGTCTGGTCCCTGTATCACTCCTCTTACCTTGGCCAAATTGGTAGGCTTTCGCCCTGCTTCCCGGAGACCCGCAGCTAGAGTCTGGCGATAAATTTGGAGATGTCTCCTACCTTCCGGTGAATTAGGGTTCCACTCAGGTCGTTTCAAGGGGGAGTATTCGTCAATGAGGTTCTGCAGTATGGTGGGTTGCCCGTCGGGTCCCGGCACATGTTTGCGAGCGTTGGTAAGGACGGCTTCCTTCTCTGCTGTAGTTAGCAGAGCAGTGAGGAGCTGCTGACAATCGTCCCAAGTGGGGCTATGTGAATTCATGACAGAGATGATGAGGTCAGTCAATCGGGTGGGGTCTTCCGAAAAAGGAGGGTTAAAGTTCTTCCAATTAAAGAGATCGGAAGTGGAGAAAGGCCAATACTGAAGGTAAGGCATCCGACCTCCCTGCCCATCGGGGATTTCTGTGCCGTAGGCTCGTAAGGGGAGGATAACTGCCTCGGCCTCAGTGGGGGGCCCTTCTCCCGCCCGGGCCTCCCGCCTTCTGGTTCTGAATGCTGGCCCGGGGGAGGCATTAGAGAACTCAGGGTTCAGGGGCGGAGCAGAGGTGTCAGGGGAACTTAGAGTGGGAGGCAGAGGTATAGGGGGAAGAGAAGACTGAGTAGCAGGTGCTGGCAATTGCAGGTAGGGCAGCGGTTCATCAAAAAGAAGGAGGTCCTGGGACTCTGGGAGGAGAGGTTTAGAGTTGTCAACATGGGCCGGAAGGGTGAGAGCTGGGGGTGGAGTGGTAGGGAGAGGGGTCAGTGCCGCCAGAGGAACCTGAAAGGACTTGACCCAGGGAGGGGGATGTTCGCATAGATCTTGCCAGACCAAAATGTAAGGCTCCTGGTCCGGGTGTCCTCGAGGGGCTGGCCGGTAGATGGCTCCCTTGACCTGGAGAACTGTTGGTAGGTGAAAGGATCCCTCAGAGGGCCAGCCAACCTGGAATGTTGGCCACTCTGCGGAACAAAAGGTCTGCCATTTGGCCTTTTTAATAATCAGAGAAAGATTCCGAGCACGAGAGTGGACCTCTGACCAGTGGAAGAGGGTGAGTGAGAGGGGAGTAGACAGAGATTGTCCCATGGTTCCAAAGACGGTGTCTCGGTAGAGAAAAAGGACAAGCGTGATCCAACCTACGAAAAAGAATGACGCAAGCGCAAGGCCTTTTGGAGAGGAAAGAAGAATAGAGAAGTAATAGAGCGGCCGATGATTTCTTCTTTGGCACACCAGATGCAGCCTCTCCGAGGCTACCACAAAAGAGGCCTCCAGGCGTCCCTGGCCCTCATCCACCTCCGGGGCGTCCCCCAGGGCTGCGGCTCGTGTCTATTCCCGACACGTCTGTCAGACACAAGGCTCACACACACAACAGTGTGCTGCACACCACTGTCACTGTGCTGCACACCACTGTGCTTGTGCCACCGATCGGTTAAAATGGTACCGGAGAAACAAAGAGAAAGAAAGAGGCGCCTTAACTTACCCCGCGGCTCAATCCGGCGTCCCTGGGGCAGGGTCCTCGGTGATCTCGGTGGAACCTCCAAATGTTGGGATCAGGAGTTCCCTAGCCCTGGGAGGCGCGGAGAGACCAGATAGACACAATTCCTGCAGGAGTAAAAACGGGGTTTATTTAGACCAGCATGCTGGGGCTCCGCAGCATACCCCAAAATCGGGCAGTGGCTGAGAGCCCCGAGCTTCTTCAAAGGGGGTCTTATATAGGCTCTCATCAACCATTACAACAAAACCTGCGCATTCCAAGGATCATAGATTCAAAAGTCAGTAGTTACATACATTGATTGTCAGTGGTGCAAGCAAGGTTATAGCCGGAATCATTAAGCCTTTAGTGAGAATTGCCAGGAATGGGCAATTTCCCCCAACCACCCGCATCCTGAGCTATCCTTTACCCAAGTCTGCAGGGTGCTTTAGTGAGACAATCCATTCCAGGATCGGGCAATTTCCCCCAACCACCCACATCCTGAGTTGTCCTTTACCCAAGACTGCAGGGTGCTTTAGTGAGACAATACATTCCAGGAACAGTAAATACACCTGAATCCTGTCACAAGAGTAGCCAAGCAGTTTTACAGAAAACAATGTTGCAAGTTAGCTGAAGCACAAGCAGTTTTAGAGAAAGCAATGTTGCAAGTTAGCTGAAGCACAAGCAGTTTTACAGAAAGCAATGTTGCAAGTTAGCTGAGGCACACAAAAATTTGATGCCCTAGCATGGATTCTTTCAATAGGAATCCAGGAATTTATCCATTTCTTCTAGGTTCTCTTGTTTCGTGGCATACAGACTTTCAAAGTAGTCTCTGATGATCTTTTGAATTTCTTTGGTTCTTTGTTTGTGATATCCCCATACTTATTTCTGATTCGATTTATTGGGGTTCTCTCTCTGTTTCTTTGTGAGTGTTGCTAGTGGTTTATCTATCTTATTTATTTTCTCGAATAACCAGCTCTTGGTTTCATTGATCTTTCGAATTGGTATTTTTTTTGGGGGGTTTCCACGTCTTTGATTTCTGCTCCAAGTTTTATAGTCTCTTTCCTTCTACACAATTTGTGCTCCTTCTGTTGACCCTTTCTAAGATCTTGAGCTGTGAAGTCAGGTTGTTTAAGTGCATCCTTTCTTCTATCCTGAGATATGCTTACAGAGCTATAAATTTTCCCCTTCAAACGGTTTTTGCTGCATCCCATAATTTTTGGTAGCTCGTGTCTTCATTCTCATTTGTTTCCAAGTATCTTTTGATTTCATCCTTGACTTCCCTCCTGATCCACTCGTTTTTAAGCATTGAGTTTTTTAATTTCCAGGTGTTTGATTTGTTTCTCCATATCTGTGTGTGATTCACTCCTATTCTCAGAGCATCTTGGTCTGAAAAGATTGTTGATACTATTTCTATCTTCCTGATTCTATTTAGGTATGTTTTGTGGCCTAGGACATGGTCTATTTTGGAAAATGTTCCATGCGCACTGGAGAAGAATGAGTATTTCTCTTATTTGGGTGGAAAGCTCTGTGCAGGTCTATACACCCTCTCTCTTCTATTTCTTCTTTCAAAGCCAACGTTTCCTTGCTGAGTTTTGTTATTGTTGATCTATCCAGAGGTGATAAGATGATGTTGAAATTCCAGCTACTATTGTGTTGCTAGAAATGTCCTCCTTAAAATCTGTTAGCAGTTGTTTTAAATATTTAGCTGTTCCCTCATTAGGTGCATATACATTTAAGAGTGTGATTTCTTCCTATTGTCCGTGTCCCTTCATGAAGAGAAAATAACCTTCATTGTCTCTTCTAATCTTTTTCAATGCAAAATTAATGCTATTGGATACTAGTATGGCCACCCCAGCTTTTCTGAGGTAGCTGTTTGCTTGTAGGATTGTTTTCCATCCTTTGACTTTGAGTCTGTGTTTGCTCTTGCTGTTGAGATGAGTTTCTTGTAGGCAGCAGAATGTTGGGTTCTGTCTCTGAATCCATTTTGCCACTCTGTGTCTCTTAAGTGGTGAATTTAGACCGTTGACATTGAGAGAGATTATTGTTATGGACTTTTGTGTCATCTTTCTGTAAGGGTGTGTTGTGGTTGTAGGGTTTGTTTTGTATTATAGTACCCCCTTTAGCCCTTATTTTAGGTTTGGTTTTGAGTCTATGAAGATCCTGAGCTGCTGTTTGTCTAGAATATACTGTACCACTCCTTGAATTTTGAGTGAGAGTTTAGCTGGATAGAGTATTCTTGGTGAAGCATTCATTTCAGTGAGATTTTTCACTATATCTTGCCACTGCCTTAGGGCTTGGGGGGTTTCCTCTTATGGATCTGCTGTGAATCTAAGGGGTACTCCATTGTATGTGATTTTCTTCTTTGACCTTGCTGTTTGCAGTATTGTATCTCTATCAGGAGCATCAATCATTCTAACTATGATGTGTCTTGGAGTGTTTTTGTTAGGGTCTCTTTTATCTGGTACCCTTCGGGCTCCTTTAACCTGAATGACTGCATTGTGGAGCTCTGGGAATACTTCAGCAATGATTTGTTTCACCGTGTTTTTTTCATCTGGATTGTTTCCCTGAGCTTCTGGTAGTCCAATGATTCTAATGTTGTTCCTCTTGGAATCATGTCCTAGGACTCTGATTCTCTGTAGAGCTAATTTGAGGTGCCTTGCAACTATGTGTTGTTGCCTGTTGGCTTGGTGCAGCTGATCTTCCAGCTCACTGATTCTCTCTTCAGCTGCGGTCATTCTATTGTTGAGAGAAGAGACTGAGTTTTTCATTTCATCTACAGAATCTTTTATTCGTGACATTTCTGCTCTCATTTCCTCGCGTAATTTGTCAATTTTTTCTGTCATGTTACTGGATATCTGTATAACTGTCTGATTGAGTTGATTGAACATTTTCATGACTTCGTATCTGAATTTTTTGTCTGAGAGGTCCCTTAGGTAAACAGTATCGACAGATTCTTCTGCATTCTTTTTGTTGTCCTCCCCATGTGGTGGGGATTTGCGTTGTTTCTTCATGTTGCTGGGTTTGGGACAAGATCAGTGCTGTGTGAGTGGTGAATAGGGAAAGACAGAGTCTCAGAGCTACTTTCCTGCAGGCGTCTCTCTTTAAACACTTTAAAGATACAAAGTGCAAAAATATGGAAGACTAGTTAGAAATAAAAGTTCCGTTAACAGCAATTATCTAGGTGATTTATAGATCTTTTTTGTCTTTCATATAATTTTCAATATGTTCTAGCTTTACCAATCAGTATATAAGACTTTCAGAAGTTAGGGGGGAAGGGTACTTTGAATAATTAAAACTATGATTTAAATCATATAAATAAATCTAAGGATTCTTAGAATAGGGTTTAGGGTACAGTACCTGGATTAAGGTGCAAGCCTGCATGAAAGCAAACTTGGTTTGATCCCTGACATCACAAAGTCTCCCAACCATTTCCAGCTTCATCCCTGGGACCTGTAAATTCTGGTCTCGAGGCCCTTGACAACCAACAGAGTTGCCTGGCCAAACTCTCAGGGCCCAAGCAGCATCCTGAAATGAACTTCATGTCCAGCTGTCCAGGAAATGCCAAGAAGGGTCTCAGAACTTCAGAGCACCATTTGGGATGTAGTAGCAACATACATGCCCCCATATCCCCAAGAAATATCCTTAGAATGAGTTCAACAGAGAAACTTGGATTTTTTCACAATACTGAGTGAGACTCATTTTAAAACAATTAAAACAGGATAAAACCATGAACATATCATCCTGAAAGCTAAGTTGTACTCCCACATTTGTTTACTTTCACTCTGGCTACTGGGAGAAAATGCAGCCAGAAATGAAACACTTCTCTTCTGCTAAAACAATGCCTGGGCATCAGCATACACACACACACCAAATATGGGTATTATTATTTGATTATTGCTTTTTATAATTGTTAATGTTCATTTTTAGCATGTATAAAGTTACTGTACTTCCTTCCACCACCATCAAACCCCCAAAATGGCTTAGAAATTATTAAATGGTGCCAGATCAAGTTCACCTGACACAGAGCTACATGGCTGTAAAGTCAGCCACAAACAGTACTCCAGAGTTCAGAACTATATCTTATGTGGATGCACTGCAAAGGGGTACTTATGGATTACAAGGAGTCAAAGAAATTGAAAAGCCTCTAGAAGTATGAGAGAGTTAACTAACGCTTCATTCCTATGGTGAAGTTACACTTCTTAGAAAATGTATAGATGGAGGAAAGAACAGGAGCACAGCTGAGATATTGAAACAAAAGCAAATGTTCCCCTAAGATGGGGAAACTACACAATCACATTAGTAAATACAACTCAAATTAGCCAGGGTCAGAAAGGCAAAACACTAAAGATGGAAAAAAACAATTGGTAACCCAAAAGGTGATTAATGCTCTACTTCAAACCCACTCAGCAATGTACCACTGCTAAGGCAGTGAACTTGAAAAGGAGATGGTAAGTTTCACCTTGCTCTGTGTTAAATTTTACGTATCTGGTCATATAACTCAGATTAATTAAGCTCCACTCTGAGAAATTGTTCAGAAATATCACTGTTTCACATGTCTACAAAATAATCCTTTGTTTAAACAAAACTCTCCTGTCACTGGCTAGAGCTCTAC